CAAAAAAAAAAAAAAAAAAGATAATAACTACTTCATCTATTTATTAATTTAATTTTTATAGCCATCCGATGACTTGATTATTCCTGCTTTATAGAAGGGACACTGATGCTGAGAGTCATTGCTTGTCCAAGCTTGAGGACCTGGGGTTCAAATCCAAGTCTGGCTGACACCAGAGCCCAGGCTCTTACCCACTGTGGCATGCTCCTTCTCTTCACAGGTGATGAGAATGGGACTGTCTCCCTTGTGGACACCAAGAAAGCAGACTGTGCCCTCAGCTCCACTGTGCACTCCCAGTGTGTCTCTGGGCTGGTCTTCTCCCCACACAGGTACTGTGTCGTCAAAGGCCTGATGGGTCTGAATGGGGACAGCGGTGGGGAATGTGTGTGGCTCCAGCGCACTGTGCGATGTGCAGTTCCTTAAGGCAGACAGTGCTCCAGGTGAGCCTTCAGCATCGAAGATCTCTTAGCACTGTGGTCCTTTGACGGGTTGCACAGTCTCTGAAAATGGCTAAAATGTGTTGCCTCCCTGATCAGTACCCACAATGGTAATATCGTGGGCTTCTAGCACTGTGAGGTCAGACGAGACTGTTTCCGGGTTATTGCTGAAGCTGTGAGAGGGGCAGATGGGCTGGTTGGGTGCCGGGATGATTGTCCACTCTGGCGTAGCTCTGTTTCCCTCGTCTTTGCGTGGAACTTGTAATGTGGACTTGAATGGGAGGCAGACCTTGGCTAGAAGTGGGGTTAGGCCTGGTTTCCTTCTTCCCTGGGTCAGTTCCCAATGGAGGTGGGGCTGGCCCCATCAAGGCTTTGTCTTGAAAGCCTGGAAACCTTTCACATCCCTCTCCTCCCTCTCTTAGTGTTCCCTTCCTGGCCTCTCTCAGTGAAGACTGCTCACTTGCTGTGCTGGACTCAAGGCTTTCCCAGGTGTAAGTGTGAAGTGGAATCCTGTGACCAGGGTCGGGGAGGGGTGCAGTGGGTTGGCGAGTTCTTTTCCTGTGCAGAAAAGTGCATTGCCGCTTTGGAGAACTCCCATGCATGTGTGAGGGGACTGGGAGGTAGAAGCAGGCAGACGGCTGGCTGGCTGTGTTCTTGGGGCTGACCCTGGTAGAGGAGGCATGTGGGGTGGGGGTGGAGTTCCTGAGTCTAGCATTCCAGCCCTCTCCCACATGAGAGTACTCAACGCTTCACAGAAGGAACTGTGTCGTATAGAAATGCAACCCACCCTGGGGTGGATGATTAGGAACATCCACTGTGGATACTACACCGCTATCTGGTGATGAGGCATGCAGACGGTGTATGCAGACGGTGACACGTGTAACACGCAGAAAATGTGCTCTGGATGTGTCGGATTCTCTTCCTTCACCAGGCCTGCTTTTCAATTCTTGGCCCTTCCATGCCCAACTTCTTTTCCTTTCTCCTAGGTTTAGAAGCCGGGCCCACAGAGACTTTGTGAGAGACGCTACTTGGTCCCCGCTCAATCACTCCCTCCTCACCACGGTGGGCTGGGACCATCAGGTCATCCACCACATTGTGCCCACGGAACCTCTTGCAGCCCCTGGACCTGAGAGTGTTGTTGAGTAAATCAGATTTAAGGCAGAACCAAGTCCCCCATGATGATTCACTTCTTAGCCCCTGCCCCCAGCTTGGAGACAACCTAGGAGCCATCCACATTACGTCGAGATGCTAGACCTCTGCAGTCAGTAGGTGTTGTCTCGCAGTCTGAGGGAGGCTGGACTCGGGGCCTGAAGTCACACAGAGGAGAATCTTTCTTAAAAATGGATGTGTACACGTGTCTGAGTGTGTGTAGATCTATAGTTTTTAGTGGTGGGGAATTTAAAAAACTCACCCCACATTTTTCTTGAGCATCGTCCCTCCCTTCCACCCAAAAAAGTTGACAGAAGGCCTTTGTGCTTTCTCTGTAGCTGCCGACAGGGAGTTGGCCAGGTCTAGGTGGGGTGTGGAAAGTGTTCATCCCTGGATTCTTGGAAACGGCTCTTGTGCTACTTAGAGATAGGATCGATTTTGTTTTTTTTATAGGGCTTAATTTTATCACAGGAAATGCTTCCAGTCATAGAAATCCAGCCCAGCTCACTTTGAGAAAGAGGGAGGACGTGCCACAGTTTACATAACTCCTCGCCACTAAACTGAGTCAGAAATCTTTCTGACTGGTGCCTGTGTAACGTCCCTTTCCCACTCCCCAGTGGCATTGTGTGTGTGAGGGAGGAGGGTTTTCCTGTCATCGATGCCATAGAGAAAAGTATGGGCATGACAGAGAGCTTCAAGACCTTCCAGTTAAGACAGAAGATGGACATAGGCTGTTACAGAGAAACCCTGCCACTTCTACCACAGAATGTCCTGGGTCCTGACCTTTTCTGCCCTGAGCCCCGTTAGACGTAGAAAGTGTGAATGCTATATTTGTAGACTCCTAAGATTTTGAAATGCAGCATCAGTAAGAGAATCAGAAATGCTGGTTGGTGAAATAAAGAGTTTTGGCATTGTTCGTCTGTCTTTTTTGAAGTATGTGTGTTTTGTGTAGTTAGTTCGCATACTTCACTTATGCGAAATTTCACATAGCAGCAAAAACCCCCAAGCTTAAACTGCTCTGGGCCTCCAGCCATGTTTCCTCTGGTCAGCATGTGAGAAAGGGGAGGAGATTTTTAAAAATCAGATTCAACTTCAGAGGGCTCTAGAGTTTTCTTGCCCCATCTAGACCTGAAAGTAAAGGACTCTGATATATATATATTTGAGTCGAGGTATCACTCTGTTGCCTAGACTGGATTGCAGTGACATGATCAGGGCTCACTACAACCTCGACCTGGAGTCACCCGATCCTTCTACCTCAGCCTTTTTAGTTGCTGGGACCCCTGGTGTACACTGTCATGCCTGCTTAATTTTTTTCATTTTTTGTAGAAACGAGGTCTTACAATGTTGTCCAGGCTGGTCTCAAACTCCTGGGCTCAAGCAGTCCTGCCTCGGCCTCCCAAAGTGCTGGAATTAATAGGTGTGAGTCAACGTGCCCGGCAACTCTGATTTTTAAAAGGCAGATTTTTGTTGCATTTGATAGCATAAGTAATGTGTCTTTTGTATTTTCTTTGTATTTCAAGAGTTGTTTGACTTAACTTTGTGTCTACAAACTAAACGAGAATAGAAAAAAGATGTGTTCTAAAATACAATTGCATAAGACACTTATACATAGAGAAGCTGAGGGAATTCATATACCATCACTGCATGAGCTGCTTTTTTTATTGCCAATCTGTGAGCCTCACTGAACACATTAGAATCACGTACAGGAAACTGATTTTGTTTGGAAAAAGGATAAAAAAGCTCTAGTCTCAATTTTGAGTTCAGATTTCTCTCAAGAACTTCGTCAACAGCTGAAATACATAATACGGTTTCGAAAAGTAAACGGGAAGCAGACCACTTTTGGAGCCCAGACACATTTTCTTGTTCCTCAGAAATGGGCATTTACGGAGCTTTTTGTCTTCACTACCCGGCCACGGGACTGGCACGATGCAGAGGGACTGAGGGAGGTGAGTGTGCAGAGGCAAGGCCGACTTGTCTTAATCTACGGTCTTGTCAGGCATCACATTTGATGTAGCAGCGTTCTGCTTCCTGCAGAAACCGTGTCTCCTAAACAGTGTTTTGTAGCTTCAGTTTGCAACGAATGGAACATCACATTCAAAAGATGGTAAACAGAGTGTTTAATCTCCAAACATCTTTCACATTCTGGTAAAAGCCCAGCTAGTGAGTGTCTTTGGTTGAAAGATCCTTCAGTGTCCCTGTGGTGATGAAGTACCAGATTCTGATCAAGCATTTCACTTTGGAAGGACCATGTTATAAGCATTAGGAATGTACAAAACACATTTTGCACTCTGGTCGCTAACTTTTACCTGGGGTCTCAGCGAAGGGATGAGAGTTGTTTGGATCAGAAAATGCACTTACATGTGCAAGCTAAATAAGCTTCAGCTCCTGCGATTTCTGCATCTTGTCTCACAGAAACCCTCAGTAGAATTTGAATCTGGCTGACGTATGCGACCCTTTACGACCATTACCGAACTTCAGCTTGCTTGACAGAGTTGTCATTAATGCTACCTATAAGCAGCTGGAGACAGGCTTTGTGCTTATCACTGACTATAGACCTGTGGTGAACTCCCTGCAGCTGGACCGACTTGTGCCTCGTTTTTTTTTTTTTAAGTGGCAAAAATGTACATAATATATAATTTATCATTTTAACCTTTTAAGTGTACAGTTTAACACATTTACATTTTGTGCAACCTTACTACTTCCATCTCCCAAACTACTTCAGACTGAAACTCTACTGTTTAAAGGATAACGGCCAGGCATGGTGGCTCATGCCTATACTTCCAGCACTTTGGGAGCTGAGGTGGGAGGATTGATTGAGCCCAGGAGTTCGAGGTCAGCCTGGCAACATAGACCATTGTCTCTTGGGGAAAAGAAAAAAATCCAGGTGCGGTGGACTTGGCTGTAGTCCCAGCTACTTAGGAGGCTGAGGTAGATTGCCTGAGCCCAGGAGGTCAGGCTGCTGTGAGCCATGGTCACCCCACTGCACTCTAGTCTGGATGACAGAGTGAGACCCCAACTCAAAAAAAAAAAGAATAACTCCTCCCTCACATCCTGGCAATCACCATTCAACTTCCTGTTTCTGTAAATTTGACTTCTAGGTACCTTATATAAACTAATTCATACAATATTTGTCCTTTTGTGTCTGGTTTATTTGATTTTATAAGGTATTGACTTGTTCTTCAAAGTAAGATCTGTAGACCAGCAGCATTTGCATAACCTTGAGCTTGCTAGAAAAACAGCCATTCAGACCTACTAAGTCAGAATTTACATTTTCAAAAGCTTCCTAGAAGACTCATGCACTGACTTAGATTACCTGTTGAGAACTTTGGATGGATCAAAAACCAGGCAAAGAAATATCAGCTATTCAGCAGTGAGCAGCTATGGTCTATCAGCTGTTAGGCATTGTGTGGTTGGTATGGACAAAACAGACATGATCATCATGCCTATAACAGCTTAGTCTAGAGAGAGAGAAAGGATGGAGCTTGTGTTTAAGTGCTAGCCAAAGAAGTAAAGATTCTTAGAAAACACGGGTTGTATGCCAGTCATGAAAGAGTGATACATTTTTCCTGATGAAGTGAAAGATTCCTTAAATTTATGTTTTAAAGATTTGATTAACAATACCGTATATATTCAAGGTGTACAACATGATGATTTGATATACGTGTGTAATGAAGGTCACAGAAAACAATGGGTACACTCACGATAGTTTGAGGAGGGTTTATTATAGAGGGACTGCTTACAAAAGTTTAGGGGAAGCACAAGGTTGGTGCAGGACACCAGGACTGGCAACTGTGGAGTTGCTCCTCACCTTTAGACCCAAAGGCAAGGGAGGGAGAGGTTCCCTGAGACTGGAAGAAGAGTTGTGTAGAGCAGGTTGCTTTGAGGGGTGCAGTGACCCAGGCCAAGACTTCACTTCCCCTTTAACTTCATAAGCCCCCATGACAGGTAGGCCATGTGGGTGTACCACATCTCCAGGAATCAATGTAAATTTAGAGCCAGTATCTAATACCCTTGCATAGTCTAGGCATTTCCTTTCCCCAAAGTGAAGTCACCTAGTCTACACTGTTGGGAAAGCTTGGGGGACAATTCAGAATGAATACCCGTGGCCACATTGCAGGATTCCTTCTCAGAAGGGTACAGCTTCCTCATAGTTGAGTGACTCCATGGGTAAAAAGCTGTGAATCCTCACTATTGTAGTTTGGGTTAGACTTCTGTCTTGTAGACCTAGACATTTCCCACCTATGTATGTCTAGTTTTATTTCATTTCTTGAAACCCCACCATGAATTAGTCATTGCTATAGAGTCTTACAGGTCAAAACACCATGATTACCATTTTTTCCTGGTGGCTTATTGTGTCGCTGTGCCCAGTTTGTATCTGATGGATCAGGAAATGGATTTCCTTGAACTTATTCCCACCATCATCTCTAGCCTACAGAGGACAGCCATCCTAGAGCTGGGTCCTTCTGGACTGGGAATTCGTTGCCCTGAGCAAAGGCACAGAATTGGGAAGGTGGGAAACAGCAACTTAGGATAGCTCAGCAATCCTCCTCTTCCTGCCTTCCAAGGGGACCTCTGTCCCATTCCTCCTTTTACTTGGTTTAATGCATCTTCCCAGTACTTTCCTGCCCAGAGACCTTCCATGGTAGGGAAGTTTCTAAACCATCTTCTTTCCAAGCAGTATGTTCTGCATGTTTTCTTAATCCTACTTATCAAAAATACAAGCAGTTGTGAAAATGTCATTCTATTAACAGTTAGTATTGAAATTTCTCTTTGGATTTATTTGAGAAAATACCCTGATGGCCATCTTGGGTGTAGACGGTGAAGAGCCAAGCACTTTGAATCTGGTTCAACTTAAACTGCAACAAACAAGGGAGGAATTTTCCAGTCACTCTGAAATGGGAGAGACAGAACACAGGGATGGCTGAGAGGAGCCAGGAGTTGGTGGAAGTCTCTGCATTATGTGATAGTACCCTTCACAGGACCCTGCCCCCCTGTGATATAGTAAAGATTACCAAGTAAAGAGATTGACATGTGAGGATTTCTTTTTTTGGGGTGGTGGTGGAAAATATAGTTTGTTTAGAAAATAAATGAGAGAGAGAGAGAGAGAGAGACAGAGAAGTTTCACCTCCCTAAGGTAGGGGAGGGGATCAAAGCTAGGAAACACAGTGGCCATAGCTCAAAGAGCCACGTGGACACACCAGAGTTTAACAAAGCAGTAGCCGATGAGTGAGTATTTTTAATGGAAGCCGGGGAGAGGGCTAAGTCATGCACCAGGAATCCATGTGAAAAAACAGTCTACATCCAAGGATTCAGGAGCAAAGAAGTAGAGGAAAACACAAGGAGAGACCCTGGAGACCTCATAGGAATCCAGGGAATGCTTTGGGCTTACACAGGCTATGGGGCTGGGATTTAGGCAGAATGCAAACTACTGAGGAAGGGAGTCCCTAACTGACATCTAAGTTACATACATATATTTTGAATTCTGTGGTTTTAGTTTTTGGTTGCTCTGTTAGAGCAGAAAAATAAGTATTTGTTGGATAAACGAAAAAACGAATGAGTGAATTATTTTCAGGACAATGTCATCGAATCTTAGAGCAGGAAAGGACCTTCAGTTCCAATTAGTTCAATCTGTTGAACAATTAGTTCAATATTTTTAGGTGCTGATCTCACGGCCAGTGAGAAGCAACCATCAGTAGGAACAATAGTTGTCACAAGGAGTGCCTACCATGAGGCAAACAATTTGTACTTAACATCTCTGTTCCCTTCAAGCTTTCAAAAAAAGTCATTATTTCCACTTTCTGGACATGTCTGAAGTTTCTCGACCCAGATGCACCTGGTTCCAAGCCTGTGTATTCTCACTTCCTGGGCTGTGCTTTTTCTCAGCTCATTCTTTCCAAAAACAGACTGTTGCATCTGGAGCTACCAAAATGAATCAGTCATGGATCTTTCACTAAAGGAGCTCACTTTGTAATAGTTGAAATAGTTTACTTTTTAAATCTACTGATCAAACTTATGTCAGAATTAAAAGAACAAGAACAATGATGACAATCATAACAAAAAAGCAATTCATCTTAAACCAGGGTTTCTCCCCCTTGGCACTGTTAAATTATCAGTACAGACAATCCCCGGCCTCTGATGGTTCAACCTATGAATTTTCAAGTTTATGATGGTGCAAAAGTGATATGCAGTCAGTACACTCCTTGACTTAGAATGGGGTTGCATCCTGATAAACCCATTGTAAATGGGAAGTATTGTAAGTTGAAATATTTTTAATTTATGATGGGTTTTTAGGAGTAAGTTGAGGAGCCCCTATGCTGGGCAATTCTGTGTTGTGGGGGCTGGCTTGTGCATTATAGTATATTCAGCAGCATCCCTGGTTTCAACCCACTAGGTACCAGTAGCACACCTGCCACTATTGTGACAACCAAAAGTGTCTCCAGACATTGTCAAATTGGGCAAAATTGTGCCCAATTGAGAACCACTGGCTTAAAAAGAAAAAGAAAGGAACTCTTGCGTGGATGTACAAAAACACATTTAGTCATCTTCTCATGGCGGCCACTAAGTTAGGATTTTTGTTTTTAATATTTTGCTGTTACAAATAAAAGTGCAAACTTTGTGTGCTTGGGCATGGCAAGTTTCTACAAGTGAAAGTGCTGAGTTATAGGATGTGTGTGTTTAAGATTGTGATGTCACCAAAAAGACCCGTATAGAGATTAAACAAACAGTACAGCATTTACTACTTTATTAAAAATATTCTCTTTTGAATTGCCCCAATTTTTAAGCTCAAATAAGGTCTAGTCTATGAAACTATGGGTTTATATGACAATATACATTTTTCTAATATACATTAAATACTTTAAATACTAAAATCTTAAAAATCCTTCATGCACAACCAAAGTTACCTTTTATTCCAAATGTTGGGAAACTTCCTTCACTAAAGATGTGGTAGCTGACTAGAAAATCATCTTTCAAGCTTACACTGACCTGTAGTCAACACTCTTTGGATTCTTATAATTATTGAACCAACTGATTTTGTTGAAGTCATACTTATCTAGTTCATCGACATGAGTATCACAAAAGATGTGGTCGAATGCTTTATTCAAACCAAAGCATTTCATGTCTGTGATGTTGCCTTCATTTAAACGATTCTTGGGAAATATGGGAGAGGTCATGCTGCTTCAGCTACCTAAGTAAAAGACATTTGTAAATGTCTTTTCTCCGTGAGAACAGGCTAAGCAGTAGGAGGGGTATTTTCTAAATATCCGGGATGGTGTGTAAAAAAATAAAAAGCAATGGCTGTATTATTATTATTTATTTTGACAGCAAGAACTCAAGGAAAAGGATTGAGAACAAACAGAGCGACATGGTACACTGATTTTCAACATAAATCTCATTCAGCATTTTACTATTCATCACCTTCTATACACTCAGATCATAGCTGCCAACTCTTTGGCACAGTCATCCCTGAATTCTGCAGAGGTCTTCTTTCCTGAACATGCATTGTTTTAGCTTGGCATTCTCAGCATCATCCATCACTTTGGCAGGTACAGAGGGGTCAGATCTGAGATCTAGTCATGCTCAGTGCAACAGAATAGGGTCCCAGAGGATCAACTCAGGTGCAGATGAATGAGGCTCAGATTAGCAGGCGTATCTGACTTCTCTGATGAGTGTGGAATTAATAGCAAGTGCCTGTGTTAGGAGTCTGGGTAGAAATTTCAGTGACATGGAACCTTCTGGGGGTGGAAGGTGCCCTGTGGGGAGGCTCAGAAGTAGAAGGAGGCAAGCATTCCACATCAAGGAGGCCTTCAAGGACAGTCAGTAAAGCCTCAGACCACAAGGCAGAGGGAGCCTGGCAAGACAGGGTCAGAGGACCCAGGTCCTAAGAACCACTGTACCAGCATTTTCCAGAACAGGAAGAGAAGTCAAAGCAGAGGCCAGACCCAGTAAGAATTAAGGCACACAGGCTAGGAATGGGGAAACAGGTAAGAGAATGGTCATTAGAGTTAGAAGACACACCAGGGGTAATCTAACCAGTGGTAGAAGTTGTTGCCAAGCCTGATCCAGTGTTGATCTCAGGAGGCTTCAGGATCTCCTGATTAGTCAAAGGAATGGAAGGTGGCATTGAATACTCAGGTCGGACTCAAGTGGCCCCAATGATGGTGCAGAGCAGGGACTGAATCTCAAGTCTACTTGGCAACAAAACTCATGTTTTCTTCGCTGTACCCACCATGTTACTTCTCTAAGAAAGACACACACACACACACACACACACACACACACACACACACACACACACACACTAGTTCTGGGCATGTGATCAATCGCTTCACTAGACCATCAGCTCCTTGAAAGCAGACACTGTTTCTTGAGTGCCTAACAGGGATTGGCATATGCCCAGGGATTATCTGTGGAATACCGAAAAGCAAGGCAAAGATGGATGAACCAACGGAGACACAGTCCATTGGGATTCCTGGCGTTTCAGTGAAATATCTCTGTCCCAGACAGTCTATAGCTTTTATTGGTTTTATTTCATGATATCCAAGCAAACTGCTGACTTAAAAACAATGGCTTTCCTGGTTTCTTAATAGTGGAAATGAAAAATAGGTGTTTTGTGAATTTGACCCCTAGTCATTGCTGTTTCCCTGGTTGATACCTCACGGTGGAACATGTGAGTTAGATGAGCAGCGTCAGTCTCTGGAAAGATGAGCATATGACCTGAGACACTCGTAGCAGAAAAAGAAAATGAAGGATGACAGAAGCATTTGGCTTACTGTCCTGTTTTGTTTATCCTTCATTCTGTTGTATTTTTTAAAAGTTCAGAATTGTATTCACTGTATCCTGAGGGTCATGATACATCCTCACCATTGGCTCATATACTGGCTCAAATATTGTTGACTCATTAGAAAAATCCAAGTTTTGTCTTGAGAGATTGAAGAATCTACCAACATCAGGACTATTTCTCTACAGGGCAACCACCAGCAGCTGCCCAGAGTTTTGTCTCTGTCACAGTGATCTCTGTTGCCTTCTGACCAAGAGGCTTCATGTCAGTGGATGTGTATCATTGGCATTGAAGTGTATTTTTCTACTAAAGTGAAGAGTGAGCTATTTTATTGTGTCTTTTTCACCTATTTACATTACCTGCTTGGTGAGTGTCAGCATTTGAGTTTGAGAACCCTGCTCTGCCGAGCAACTATTTAAGCATCTCTAAGAATAGCTACCATTCACTGCACCCTTATGATATACAAAGCACTAAACTAACAATCTCTCATACACAATCTTTTTCATCCCTACAAAGCCCTTAAGGTAAGTATGAGCTGTCATCCCTGTTTTGCAAGTGTGGAAAATGAGGCGCACAGAGGCAAAGTCACTTATCCAAGATGATAAAACTTCCAAGTGGTGACACTGAGATTCGTACTTTTTTTTTAACTGGTAATTTTTTTATTTTAAAGATGTGGAGTATAATTAGGGTTAGGTATACAAATGTTCATTATGCAGGTATCCTTGTTGATGAGGTATGATCCCCCTTCCCCTGACAGATTTCCACTACCGTTAATCTTTTTCTTATAGTATTATGATAATTGTTCAGAGATTCATACTTTAAAGAACTCAAAGCCTGAGTCCAAAGCCGGGGCTTTTAAACTTTGTATTATACTGCTTCCCAAGCAAAAATCTTACAACAATGGAATTACTGCTCTCACACAGTATTTCTCTCCCACACTCAGTCCATGTGAGGCTGAATATGAGGAGGAGGGACCAAGTACCAGGCAGGGCTCAGGAACAGTCAGGGAGAAGAGGTGGTCCTGGGGTCACTGTGACTCTCATAAATCACTGATCCTGGCACTGGTGTGTGTGTGTGTGTATGTGTGTGTGTGTGTGTGTGTGTGTGTGTGTGTGTGTGTGTAGTTGGACTGTCCCAGTGCTATCCATAGGGCGGCTGCAATACGGTATAAAGGGTTTGAGCCCTGGCCTCACGACTGTCAGACCATTAAGATGTGGAGACTGTCGCTGTGGCTTGGTGAGTGTGACAGGTCCCACCGGTGTCACTCAGCCCAGGAGGTAGCAGGCTTCATGAGTCTCTCTGGTTCCCCAAGAGAGCAGTCTGAGACTCAGGGGTCCTGGATGAGGCAGAGATGGGATGGGCCACAGGGAAGGGTCACAAGGACCCAGGGAGAAATGGCCAGGGCAGAGCTTCTCAAACCTGGTTACACATTAGAAATGTTCAATGTCTGAGTTTCACCTTGGACAAATTAAATCAGACTCTCTGGGGGAAACAGCCAGGCTATCAGAACTTACTAATTTGCAGCTGGGCTTGGGAACCACTGACCTAGGGCTTTTGCTGGGATTTCCAACAATCATCTTTGTCCCTGGGCAAAGCATGTGTAGATACACGTGGTGTTTGTTAGAGAGAAAAGGAGCTTAGATCTAGCCCCATTGGCTCACCTGTAGAGAAGGGGAATCAAGGAATGGGTATAGGTGTCTCGATTTGTGCATCTGCTTCCAGATAAAGTGCCAAGTCGGTGGATGTCCTTGCTGACTGGAGGGTGGGCTGGGGCATGCCACTCTGGTGAGCGTATAAATCTGTGTGTGATTCCTACCTTTGCTTCTTGCAGGGCTGGTTCTTGTGCTGAAACACCACGATGGTAAGGACACTGTATTCTCCCCTCCCGAGCCAGGGAGATTATCTGACTGGGAAGTTCTCCACAGCACCACCCTGCCTGGGCTCTTCAGGGATTATGGCTCTAGTGATGTTCCACAGAACATTTCTGGTCACCTGCTGTTTTTGTTTTCTCATTGTATGCGTGCATCAAAATTTTCTTTCCCTTCTCCCTCCCTCC